ACTTCTGTGCACACACAACACGACGTCTCGAAAAACCTGTTTTTGTGTACGGCCACTTTTTTAGAAGAAATTCAGATGAACGCTACAACCCACAAAAAAATAATAAACATACCTACAAGTCGGATTATTTTCCTTCATAAAATTAATTGTATAACTGTTACATTTAGATCAGACGAGAAGAATATTATGTTTGTAGGGAAAATCAGGATGGTATATTTTTAATGAATACGATATTTTGCAGAAAATATTGAAAGAGACGTAACGTAATGTTGAAAGGAAATATGAGAATATTTTTTTAATTGTTGAGACAGAACCTACGATACCTGAACTTGGATTTTTCAGTTTTTAAACTTATAGGATTGGTCTAAATTATATAGAAAAGAAATATTCAAAGCATGAATATTTTCTATGAAAAAAAATATCTTATTATGGTACTGTATTTACTTTGTCTACATACGTTTTGGAGAATATAATATACACATTTGAGGAGCTGAACAGTTCCATTGTATCAAAGTTTCAGTGACGAAAGTCTGACCTGCAGAATTCGTAGGCTAGGATTGAAAGTACGAAAATGTAAATTACACAAAGTTTTTACCCAGAAACTAGAGTATACTTTCCAAAAAATCTTCTGAAAAGTATACTGTGGTTTTTGGATAAGAGGGTGGGCTCAATTTTGGACTTGGACTATGATTTTTCCAGAATTACTTGGTGGACGAGACAAGAATTATCTGTTGTTCGATCGAAACCAGAACGTTGTTTTTTTTAGTTTCAACATCACTGTCGTCTGTTCCTTTATCCAATTGGACTTCAGAGAATTTTCAATACTTTTAGATTAAAAACAAGTCTGGTGATTATAAAAATCCCAAAGTGCAATGACCGAAATCCCCTACTTCTAAATAGTGGTAACCGACTTTGACGCATTGAAGCTGTTCAGCGATCTTTTTAGGAATTTGTGAGACTGAAATTGGACATATTAACAGAAATAATCGTATTATTCATTCGAAAAAAAAAAAAAGAATAACCTAACCTGCTTTAAGATTTAACTTTTTAGCATCTAGTTATTTTACTTCTTCCATTTATAAGTGTTAACAAACGGTTTAGGAATCTATAGTACAGAGTATTTTATAAGAGAATTTTTACGTAAACACTATCCATTTAAACTTGATCTAAAGTTCTGCGACATCGAGAAGATTTTTCAGTTCGCTGACTTTGACGCTTTCTTTTTATCGTCATGTAATCTCAGTAACCACAGCAACGATTTAGGGTTATTGTCATTCAAACGGACTTTAGTTTCATTACAGTAATTTGCAGTTGTGTGTGTTGCTTCATTTTCCAAAAACCGCAGTTTGCAATTTTAAGTCTAAACGGATAGTTTTTCATGTTATTTCTATGAAGGCAGCTGATTTTTTCGTAGTTCTACACACACTGATCTTTGGGTTGCTCACATACGTATACGGGGTGATAAAATGTAAACATAGTAAAAATATAAGTGTTACACTAAGAAAAATGTTATTGAATATAGGGTGTAAAATTCATCCTCTTTATAGTGAGTGCGGTATACCTGGACCACTGAATAAAAGAAAACGTCTATAAACAAATAATTATGAATTTATCTTAAATACGTCTAACAGCTGACCTATATTCAATTTTTTGGAGTTGGAGTTTCGAAATGGCCGGGAGAAACTTACAGGTAGTTTTAGTTTGTCCTAGGGCATATTCCGTAAAAAAAATCATTTTTTGTAGTACACACGCTGCACAAGAAATACTATTTAATGACTCTCAAGGTCAACTTAAACTTTTACGTTAAGAAACGACATTGATCGTTTCCACCTGTGGTTCCATTTGGAGTTCCAAAGCGACTGAAGGTCGTTGTCAAGGTCATTGTCAAGGTCACCCCCAAACGTAAGATTTTCTGATCTTTCATTCTGCGATCTCATGTTATACGATTTTCAAGTTAATCTATGAGTGACCTTGAAGGACATTTTTAAGGTCACTGTTCAGGTCACCTTCAAACGTAATATTTTCTGATCTTTCAGTCTGAGAGATCAAAAACATGAGTTCATGTTATACGATTTTCAAGTTAGCCTATTAATGAACTTGAAGGGCATTTTCAAGGTCATTACTAAACGTAAGATTTTCTGCTCCTCTTTCAATTTACGATTCCTTGTTATAAAAGTTTTAAGGTAACGTCTCAATGACCTTGATGTTGTGTTCAAGGACTCGGTCAAGGTTATTTCCAAAATTAAGGTTATCTTTTCTTCTACAGCTTCAAAAACGTACGATCCTTTGTTATACATTTTTTTAGTTAACCTCTCAAGGTCATGTCATTTTGAAAATCTTGTACATTGAGATGAGACTTCATCAAAGGTGAGATCTTACACGTTTCTTGAATTATAATCGAAAATTGGCGTACAAAGCTTGCAAATAAGACATTTTAATGCTTTTTTGTCTTGGGATGAAATCATCAGATCAGATCATATTTTTGATTCTTTAATTTCCCATAAGCGAACTTCCGCTTCAAAAAATTGAAGGTAGGATTCCATGGATTGCTACACGAGTCATTTCAATATTTGTCACTCGGCTGTGGTCATCCCTAGATGAAATTTTTGGGTGCAAAATACAAGTTCTTAGGTTATATAGTTAAATAATTGAAATATAATATTTATATATAATAGCGTTTTTTTGTAAATACACATTGTTGTACAATAGAATGGTGTTGTGAACAATAGGTTAATTTTCATACAGTTCAGGGTAGATATAAGCTCAAATCGTAATTTCTTCTGTATTATCACCTTGTATACATTTTTTATTTGAGAAATGGACTCCCCTCAGGTTCCGATACAATATACTATCCACTAATTCTCTACGGGGTGAGTTAGATGTACGAAAACATAGAAGTAATAGTGATTTTGAACTTTCAAAACTTCAGTAGCATTTTTGACTTGAAAATAAAAGATCAGGCGGTTCTCCAAGAAGATCAGGTCGATCTTTAATGTTCGCACAACAAAAGGCAAATAACCCGAGTCTCTTAAAAGCGTTTTACAGTCTGCAAGATCATTGCATGCAATCTCTTGCAGTTGCAAGGTATCTGTAAACATTTAAATATAGCCACACACCCACAGGACCTTTCTAGGGGTATTTGAATGAATTTGTAAGTTGCAAACTATTGCATCAGAATTGCAGAAAAAGTTACATGAAAAATCGAACTGATTGATTTTAATACAAGACCTCGGCAGTTTTGCTAGTGCGCATGCATCTGATCAACATTTCTCTTACTATTGCTGACTCCAAAACGGATATTAGAAATTTTGATTAATTAAAAGTTGCGCAACTTTTGTGTTATGGTACATCTTTCTTGCCCTCGTTGAGATACATCTTGCCATTTTATTTAGTTGATGGATGTATGTATTTTCGTTTATCATGTTTATTATAATTCTACCATTTTCTACCTCTGAATGTTCAAAAATACTTCTTAGTATTCTTTTAATTCGGTGCTTTCCACATTTAATTTTATCGCGATCTAACGACTTTAGTTAATATGTCTTATAGGAGCGCTGCTATGTACAAGGTGTACAAAAAATATTCCGATTTATTTTTTTGCATAACTATCCGGAATGGAAGCATTTTCCAAAAGATGCATGAAAATTATCAACAGGGTGTCCACGGACTGATTTTTCTCATTTTTACTCATTATTTTGTTGGCTGCTAATTTTTGCTCCCGTTTTTTTTGCTCATTTTTTTGGGGATTTTTTTCAATTCAATGAGCGTCCTGTAGGCGCTCAGGTCTATAAAGTGTATCAGTGAGTCGAAAAGTCGTTATTTGGTTAAGCATGAAGCATTTTTATTCATATCAATGGCTTGAATAGAGAAAAGCTTCCAAACCGCTCATTTTTTACTCATTTTCCGTTCCAAATCACTCATTTTTCTCCTTTTTTTTTTCGGGGGGTCCGCCTTTTTTCTTTCTAATACTTTTCAAAGTTAGAGCGCTTTTTTGAAGGACAGGAAACACCATGAAAATCAAGGAGGCCACAAAGGCGTCCTACAATCTTAGGAACGACTGGCGATTCGACCCTTATAGCGAATATAGCAATATTTACAGTCATATTTTTTGCATCTTGTGTATAGTTTGAGCTCCTTGCGGTTTAGATATGGGTTTGAAACAGATTGCTTATTTCATGTCTGTTTTGAAAACGTATCTGCCGCCCACTTTTCAGTATGCATAGATTTTTAGATTATATGCTGTTTCGTCCTTGTTAGGGCTAGTCAGTATGATCCTGAGACAGAGGATAGTCTGAAGTTCTTGAAAATCAATGTATGCTGGATAGGGCGTGTGTTAGAATTTTGTAAATAATATACTGATCTATTTTAACAACATATCACTAACATTTCATTTGTTTCGTTTTATATTTCATTTGTACACACCTATAATGGTTTGTAATAAAGTAAAATTTGTTAAGAAAACTTGTATTTCTTCAGAAAAACATTCCCCCTCCCTATGTCCAAAATTATGGTAGGATCATAAACGTCAAGATGTTTTTCTGGTCGCATTAGTAGGGGAGACTGTTGTACCATGGAACATTTTTTATGTTTTAATTTTTTTAATTTTTTGTAACTGTTTATTTAATAAAAAATGTATGCCAATGTGTTCGTTTAGGTGTTGGCTTTATATTTTTGTAAGAGTTATCAATTATTAGAATTTAAAATAGTAATAAAATTGATATTTTTACTGGCATGTCAAATGCTCCATGGTACACAACCGTAATGTACCATGGAACATGTACTCTTGTACCTTGGAACATAATAAATCCCAGGTACTTTGGTAAATGGAATGCAAAAAGAGAGATGTCCAGAGTATTATTTTTAATAAATCATGTTCCAAATGACTCACAAATAATAAAACCTTACAAATAACTAAAACAACAAACATTAGTGAAAAAAAAAATATAAGAAAAGATTTGTTTCAGCGTTTAACACAAAAATCACAAATATATATTTTGCACCCTTCTTTAGTTGCATCACCGAGTTCGTGGGCCCATCCTAAGCAGGACATGCATCGGATCCATTGCTCTCCATGAATGTCATTTTTGAACGATTCATTGCAAAAAAGGCACTCCTCGTCATTGCTGTCCTCATCATCAGTTTCTACAAGATGAACTATATCGTCCTCCTCTTCAGAAGATGAATATTGAACTTGTTTCCTTTGCTGATTCTTCTTCTGCCTCCTTACTTTTAATTTTTTTGATTTGTCTTTATTTTGTTCATTTGTTTCTTCTATATTTATACGACGTTTAAAGGAGACTTTCTTTTCATTTTTTAACCGTTCTTTTTCCGGAGTGTCTGTTGCAATCATGGTTTTGCCACGCTTTCTTCCTTTATTGGTAGCTTTTCTTGGTTTTGCTTTTGGGTAAGGTACAACGTCTTCAGGTAGTAAGTTTACAATGTCCGTTGATGATTTTCTTTCTGTTAGTATGGGGAACTGATTTGAGTCAGTATTTATTTTGATTTCGGAAGGACCTGGTTTACTAAGTGTCTCTTTTGATATGTTCAAATTTGGTTGATATGGCCCTTGTAAATTAAAGTCCACACTGGTTCCAGGAAACACTGCTTTAGGCCTATTCTCAGATTCCTTTTCGAAATTATGAAGAGTGATTGAGCCTTCCTTTGCATCATTTGGGCCAATAGATTTTGGATCTGGCCTATCAGTAGCATATGCTGGTAAAAAGTCTTCTGCAGAAAAAATGTTTCTGTCAAGAGGGAAAATACCGGCTTTCCGGAATCCATTGCAAATGTTTATTGGACAGAACGCACGTGGATATGCCTTGCCAACTACTTGTCCAACAGCATAAATGTCAAAAGTCTGTCCAGGGTTGTTAAACAACCATTCCGTCACTAACTGGTTGTAATGGCATTTAAAAGATCCGTAGACTGACAAGTCTAGGGGTTGCAATTTATGAGAAGTGTGTGGGGGGAATGTCACAATGACAACGCCATTGTCTGAAGCCAAATTAAGAGTTTTTAAGTTTAAGTGGGTTTCATGATTGTCCATAACTAAAAGTACACGATCTGACTTGGATGGCCTTACACTTTTTATGAAATGATTCATGAATTGTAAGAAAGTATCTTCATTTGACCACCCTGTCTGTGTAGCAGCCCCAACCGATCCCGGTGGAGCGCCAAATAACATCCTCTCTTTGAAGTGTACACGGGGAAAAATCAACATAGGACTTATGTGATTTCCACTTGCACTGACTGCTGTTATCAATGTAACTAAATTGCCACGTTCAGCAGAAGTCACACTACCAACCTGTCTTATTCCTTTTGGTGCCACAATTTTTCCAGGGGTTTGGACAGTGCTCATGCCAGTCTCATCAATGTTCCAAATCCGCTCAGCTGGAATAGGTCCAAAGCGGTTATGCACACTTTCAATATTATCAAAGAAAGCACTGACATTGGTTTTATTGAAACTACTTGCCCTACTTAAGCTAGTAGCCTCAGGTGTCCTTATGGATAAGTCTGGGTGACGTTTCATAAAAGCCCTCATCCATTCCTCACCTGCAATTTGATTCTGGTGCCATGTATCTGGAGAAGCTTTATTATTTGCTGCAGCAAACTTGAAAGCGAGTTCTCTTACACTTTTTTTCGTCAAGCCATAATTCATTTTTGCCACCTTTTTTATATAAAGGAGCAAACAATTCTCTTCATAATCAGTGAATACTTTTTTGTTATCCAGTCTTGGTTTATATTCGAAAGTTTGACTCTCTGATTTTCGAAACCGAGAAAGATGTCTTGACAAAGTTGTTAACTTAACACCAAATATTTTACATGCTTCTCTTAAAGATATATTTTCTGGATCCAAAACTGCCTTAACAGCATTTTCTAATGCAGTAGAATTAACAGGAGGTCTTTTGACGTTCAATTTGCTGCGAGGCATTTTACCTAAAACAAGAGAAAAACTCGATAAAAAGTATCGTCATGTACCATGAAACGTGTTCCAAGGTACAAGCTGTTTTATGTTCCAAGGTACAGGAAGGGACCTTGCCGAAACAAAATCGCTTCCTAACCTACAAACTGTCGTAAACTGATTGTTTAAGAGGATGAATCTACTCACCACATTACAAGGACTTCTATTATTCTAATAAAGTCCACAATCCGACTAGCACCTTCGATTAAAGAAAACGAATTTGAAATTAAAAATTTTTACTTCTGTCTCTGAAAAATAATATTTACTCACAAAAACCACGGGGTGATCAGTAGAAAGCTCAAATTATTGTAAGGGATCTGTAACGGTAATCTAATTTAGGAAATTTATTTTCCGGCCGCTAGATGTCAGAACTATGAAAAAATGGTATGTGGTCCAAGGTACACTATGCCCAAGGTACAACAGTCTCCCCTACGTGACGAAATACTGGCGTAAAAAACGAAAAAATGTGTGGCGTACTATAAAAAAATTGTTTTTAATTTTTAAACTTCAACACCCCGTATCTTTGTAATGTTTATTTTTGGTCACGACTTGTGGATCACACTGTATATTTTTTCATGATCCTTTATCACGTGTGACGTCTTCGAACGAAACAGCTGATCACATACTTCCGCTGACTGTCAGATTTGACAATAATATACAGAGAAATCCGAATATCACTGTCGTCGTCATGTGTACGAGACAGAAGCGTCCGCGGCCTTGTCCTTCGGGTTGCTAGGCAACGTGGTGTTTCTATTTGTTTCCAACAGGCATTTTGCATGATTCTCTCTGGTACACATTACGATGTGGATTTATCTGTATACGAATTACAAAAAGCTACAAAAACATGGCCACAGAAGACCATCTCTTCTTATTAAAATTTTGTCTTCAGATCGGTCAGTTAGATCACCTGACGATATGGGATGATTTGCATATCACTAGATAATCAGCTGAAACCACATCATTCTTGTCTCAAGTATTTATATGCCGTTGAGAAGTAAACATTTCATGGCGTATCGAGTTTTTTTTTAAAACTAAAATTTGGTCAAATCGTTTCTATTTTTATTACTAAATATCAAAAAACTGATGGAACTTTTTCATTGGCACTTTTTAGGCGCTACATAATGGTGTTTTAAAATTTTCGTTTTTGAGAGTCCAAGTTTATTTTTTATATGGTCCGAAAAAAAGTACGCCCATCTGATAGCATATTTTTCTACGAATTCAACGATGTTACATTGGTTTTCTTAGTTATGAAAAAAAATGTGTTTTTTTCTTTTTTTTATTTTATTTAAGTAGGCATTGCAAACAATTCACAATAGGTTGCCATTATTTTTTAAATATCAATATGATCTTCAGGTTTGAAAACATCACGTAACATTTCTGGTGTAATCATACTAAAAGCTTCCTTTTACACATTCTCGTAACTGCTGCGTTGCTGCTCAGTTTCAAAAGTATGTTGAGAAATTAGGTTTTCAGTGAAACGGGAAATTCGATTTTCCCAGGCTTTCCGGGCTTCCCGTATGTCTCTTAAAAATATTCTAACATGCACAATTGAAACATTTGACATTCTGATAAGTCACTGTTCAAGTGTAATTCTCAATAATAACCAATGAAAAATATGATGATTTCTTTGCTTGCCACTAACCTTATCTCCTGACAAAGGAAGTTTATAACAGTTTGTCTACCGTTTTTCCATTATTAATAATAAACTGTAATGGATATTCCAAATTTCAATCTTTCAGAACTCGAGTACTATATTAAGCCCAAAAAGTACTTTAGAACTGTTTTTTGTCGATGATACAATTTTTATTGTCTAACGAAGAATTCAAAATGTGGGACTCGCAAAGTCATTGCAATGACAGATTCATATCTTTCCACTGCCAATAATCCTAGAATGTTTGTGAAGTTAAACATACATATTTTAGTAATTTTTAGAATTTCATTATTAAAACCATCCTATCGCTTCGGTCCGAACGCCCTGTATATGATATCCAAAAATACAGATTCGGTTGTGTAGTAAAATCGTCGTACATGTGTAAAAAAAACAGCAATTTTTCCAGCGTAAACAAGAACGACGCTAGCCAAGCGGCGGTAGGGAGAGTAGGAGAATGAGGGGAAATTAGTAGTTCTGCGGCAAGGTACTGCGCGGCTTCAGTTATCGGGGTAGCGCGTCGGCGGTCAGTTGGTGCTACCAAGTCGCGTAACACCACGCGTTTTCTTTGTGCTGTTAGTGAAGTTTTCTCTATCATGAGGCGACGTGTGATGGTAAGTACGTTTTACTTGCTTAGGGAGATTTAGTACTTGTGTGTATACAGGGTGTCCCAGAAATAACACGGGAGGTGGATACCATGCTAGTTTTTTATGAAATGGATACTCGGTTGTCTCAACCAACTATTAATTGTAGCCCAGGAAAAAAAATCATGTTAGAAGTTGGGGTTTTTTGAAAAAAACTTGGAATTGGCAATATCTCGAAAACTAGAAAACTTTCACTGAGGTCATGTCGATTTTATCTGATTGATCTGAAATCAATCTACCTCCCGTGTCACTCAGGCGTGTTATTTCTGGGACACCATGTATATTGTTTTTTGAATAAACTATTCAATTTTTTTTAAATAATTTATTTAAACACAGTAATACAGTTTTAACAATAATTCTCCAATCAGTGCTTGCAAACGCTAGTTCCGAGAATAACAAAACAATCAATATTAATAAAATATACACTGCAATTTTGCTCATAATTTCAACAAACGATTTAATTAACTTTTTTAATCTTTAAATTCTCTAAAAAAACGTCTATGGTTACTTAAATATTTTATACAATGAGGTACATTATTGAATTTTTTCAATGCTTCTGTGATTGGATTTTTTCAACTTACATAAGTTCTTGTGGACACTTGATAAACATTATATTTAAAAACTACTTGACTTTTTCCTATATTTCTCAAGCATTTTGATTCAAGTTCTACATTTCGGAAAAAATGTCGGATTCAAAAATATGTTTCTATTTGTTTCAGGTCCAGGGTCCAGTTGAGATGGAAAACTTAGCAGAACTAGGTGGGTTTTGTTTTCATTTGTATAGACTAAACTTTTCTAGAGCAAAATGTAAAAATAACAATCAGCAAGAAGTGCAGTGTGCTTGAAAGAATCTTAGTGATGTATTTCACATGTTTCAAACTCCAAACCGAGAATTTTTCGTTCATTCTAATAGCTTCAGTTTGAAAGGCAATTTCAAAATATTTTTTTATTTGTTTCAGGTCCAGTTATAGCTGAAGGCGCAACAGAACGGTAAACTAGGTAACCGCTTTTATTTGAATATCTTATGTTTCAAATGAAACTCTAAACCATTAATAGTGATAAATAATTTTTTTAGCTATAAAGAAATTCAGACATATGAAAGAAAAGGGGTTGCTGCAAAAAAAATATCGTAGTGATAAGATGATTGTTGAGATATAAATAAAAACAATTGGAAATACGGTAGTAAAGAGGTTAGTGCTGAGGGCCAGTTCTTGGATATTCTGAATAAATTTGAACTTTTCTGTAAAAGCTCAAAGATTTTTTATACCTTATTTTTAACGGATTATGTGACACAAAATTCAAAATTTTAAGTATTATAATCTTGGTTTCATCAATGTTTTACAAAATAATGCTTAAAATTGAACAAAAGATGTTTTGGGAATTCATTTTCAGGATCGGATTCAGCTTTCTTATTTGCTTGTATTTTAAGTGCCCTGTAATTTATACTCTGAATCAATTATATTTCGCCGAAAAAGGAGCAACACACAACTAACAAGGAAGGCTATGCACTCTATTTAGCCTTTTCAGTAATTTTTTAATGATCTAACGAATTTTGAAGGTTTGCCATTAATTGACCTATTTCCATTTATCTTCATATGGACTTGCATACACAACGTAGCAGCGAAAGTACGAACTAGAAGGGAGTTTTTTGCCCTAGTCCTGCATGGGTATCACGTATCTTAAAAATTGACATTTCGTCGATTTTTTTTTACATTTTGTTTTAACATAGCACAAGCTGTTGTTCACTTGTGAACTCGTGTTGTAGCTGTACGTGTTGTTTAAACGTCAGCGAACAGCAATATGACATTTTGTCGGTTTTTTGACGTTTTTTAGGGTTTTTATATAATACCAGGGCACGTTGTTCATCGTTGGCACCAAGCCCAAAATTCCAGATCTTTATTTTCAAAAATTCTGATATTACCCATCACTCTTTAATTCACTGAGTGGAAATATTTTCTTGTGGCAGTATGTTCACTAAGGAATCAAGGACTTTAGTCTATTCGAAGGTTACTTTGTCCTTAAATCGTCTTCGAAAAACGCCTTCGTTTCGATGATACAAGGCGAATAAAAATTTTGGAAACGTAACGCAACACTTCAATCTTATTATATTTGTTTTCTTGCCACGTAATTGAAATGGTTATCTCACGGAAACTTTAGTAGACTTCATTCGATATTAGGATAATTAATGTGAAAAAGAGTACATAGTAAAAATTAAGCTTTAAAAAACTCAAAAGTATTTGTTTCTTAATGGAACCACCTGTTTTTATAATTAAAACTGTAAAACAATAAAGATACAGCTTTCTATGACGTTGTTGCAAGATAGTGGTTTCTGAAATATTTTAAAATTTTTCTTTTGCAAAAATGCTTCGTAAGGACAGGTTCACAAATATAGGAAAATAGAGCGATTATTTATTGTCTAACGAAAATTTTTCGTCATATTTTGATAAGTTACTGGCAGTGGCTAGACGTGCAAGGGGTGCGATGCAGCTTTTATAAAAGGTGTTCAGTATATTATAGCGAACTGTTTAATTTATATTCATTTATTTAAACAGATATTAGAAAACAAGAGTATTATACAATAAAAAAAAACTATGTACGAAAATAGTACGAGCGTAACTTTTTCTGACATGAAACAGATTCTATAGTCGTTCGCACGCCGAAGCGCTCGCTCGAATTCTTCCATCCGCCTTTCTTCCCGAAGTGTGAGAGTATAGTACTTGTATACTCATGCTGCTTCTCCTTGTTCCAGGGACTAGAGCAGTTTGCTGAAATGTAAGTGCATTTAGGGTTTTCTTATTGGTGTAGGGTTTTCAGCCGAACAGAGCGAGAGATGAGAGATTGATAAACCTACTGGCTGTATGAGGTTCAATTCCCTTATACACCCAGTTTGTTAGCGTGAATTGAGACAGTGTGCGAAAGAGGTTGACTAGCCCCTTTATCCTCGGTAGGCTGTCGATTATGTCTTGAATTTATCGGGGCATTGCACATAGCTTCGAAAAAATTTAGGTCCATGAACGACAGGATAGAATTGGAAGGGGCATCTTCAATGTTCCTTCGGTTTCTACACTATCTTAGGATAGCTGGACACAACAAGCGATGAAAGGGCGGAGGGCTTTTTTGGTCTGTAGAACCATCGTCTTTTTCGGGGTTGGAAGAAGACTTTGGGGAGCCGGATCTTGACTTGTAAGATCGATCGACTTCATCGATCTATCTCGCTTGTCGCTACTGACTAATTTTGCCCAATGCGAAGAGCGAGCATGGTTGACAAATGTGGCGGACGACTCTTCATACTGCCCTCCCCGGACAGGGTGCCCCACTTAGATAGTTAGGGATCACTAGGAAAAAGCGTCAGTTCAGTTGAGAAGTTAGGAAAAATATAACGGTGGCAAATTTTAAAAGTAGAGAGAATCGGAATCGTATATAATAGATAAGCTTCAACAAAAAGGTTTGCATCATAGAACTCCAATCAAGTGGTCGGGAGTAGCATGTAGCTAGGGAAATGTTAGGGAATTTGTTTGGGCACTCTGCGATGTGGGGGCACGTCAAGAGATAGAGACAACTCTTCACCTTGCCTTGCTGCGAAAAAGCAGGGCACATCGAGAGGTTCCGACACTTATTATGCTCTTGCGCAGAGCATGTAGGAGCACAGGGACAACAGTAGTTTGCTGAAATGTAAGTGCATTTAGGGTTTTCTTATTGGTGTAGGGTTTTCAGCCGAACAGAGCGAGAGATGAGAGATTGATAAACCTACTGGCTGTTTAAGGTTCAACTCCCTTATACAACCAGTTTGTTAGTGTGAATTGAGACATTTTGCGAAAGAGGTTGACTAGCCCCTTTATCCTCGGTAGGCTGTCGATTATGTCTTGAATTTATCGGGGCATTGCACATAGCTTCGGAAAAATTTAGGTCCATGATCGACAGGATAGAATTGGAAGGGGCATCTTCAATGTTCCTTCGGTTTCTACACTACCTTAGGATAGATGGACACAACAAGCGATGAAAGGGCGGAGGGCTTTTTTGGTCTGTAGAACCATCGTCTTTTTCGGGGTTGGAAGAAGACTTTGGGGAGCCGGATCTTGACTTGTAAGATCGATCGACTTCATCGATCTATCTCGCTTGTCGCTACTGACTAATTTTGCCCAATGCGAAGAGCGAGCATGGTTGACAAATGTGGCGGACGACTCATCATACTGCCCTCCCCGGACAGGGTGCCCCACTTAGATAGTTAGGGATCACTAGGAAAAAGCGTCAGTTCAGTTGAGAAGTTAGGAAAAATATAACGGTGGCAAATTTTAAAAGTAGAGAGAATCGGAATCGTATATAATAGATAAGCTTCAACAAAAAGGTTTGCATCATAGAACTCCAATCAAGTGGTCGGGAGTAGCATGTAGCTAGGGAAATGTTAGGGAATTTGTTTGGGCACTCTGCGATGTGGGGGCACGTCAAGAGATAGAGACAACTCTTCACCTTGCCTTGCTGCGAAAAAGCAGGGCACATCGAGAGGTTCCGACACTTATTATGCTCTTGCGCAGAGCATGTAGGAGCACATGGACAACAGTAGTTTGCTGAAATGTAAGTGCATTTAGGGTTTTCTTATTGGTGTAGGGTTTTCAGCCGAACAGAGCGAGAGATGAGAGATTGATAAACCTACTGGCTGTTTAAGGTTCAACTCCCTTATACAACCAGTTTGTTAGTGTGAATTGAGACATTTTGCGAAAGAGGTTGACTAGCCCCTTTATCCTCGGTAGGCTGTCGATTATGTCTTGAATTTATCGGGGCATTGCACATAGCTTCGGAAAAATTTAGGTCCATGATCGACAGGATAGAATTGGAAGGGGCATCTTCAATGTTCCTTCGGTTTCTACACTACCTTAGGATAGCTGGACACAACAAGCGATGAAAGGGCGGAGGGCTTTTTTGGTCTGTAGAACCATCGTCTTTTTCGGGGTTGGAAGAAGACTTTGGGGAGCCGGATCTTGACTTGTAAGATCGATCGACTTCATCGATCTATCTCGCTTGTCGCTACTGACTAATTTTGCCCAATGCGAAGAGCGAGCATGGTTGACAAATGTGGCGGACGACTCATCATACTGCCCTCCCCGGACAGGGTGCCCCACTTAGATAGTTAAGGATCACTAGGAAAAAGCGACAGTTCAGTTGAGAAGTTAGGAAAAATATAACGGTTGCAAATTTTAAAAGTAGAGAGAATCGGAATTGTCATATAATACATAAGCTTCAACAAAAAGGTTTGCATCAGAGAACTCCAATCAAGTGGTCGGGAGTAGCGAGTAGCGAGTAGCTAGGGAAAATGTTACGGAATCTTGTTTGGGCACTCTGCGATGTGGGGGCACGTCAAGAGATACAGATAACTCATCATCATACCCTTGCAGAGAGGGAAAGTGAGGGAAAGAATTTCCCTTAGGTCCAAGGCCGAGCTGTTAAACAAGGATTCAGAATTTAAAAGGATACTGCTAAGTATCAATATCAATCTCATAGGTCTGTTGGCTATGATTATTTATGCTTTAAAATCGTAGCGCGTCTTTCTTGGTTTTTTGATCTTTTAGGTGAGAGTGAGGACATTCCGTATTCCAGGAATGGTGATGAACTATGCTAAATACTGATGATAATGACATATTATAATTTTAAATTACATTTGGTATTTACTATTTCTATTAGGTACATACTTTACGAACATCTATTTTTAGCTAGCTGTGATTGCACATTTCTTAGTTTTATATATTTTACAGAACTGCTCTAGGAAAACGTTCAGACTTCCTTTCAGAATCATAGCCCAAACATTTTTATACAGCTTTGGAAAGAGGACACTACCAATTTCAGAAATGGCACAAGTTATAGGCGCTCTCGAGCGTGATATAATGAATATTGATGATAATGATTTGTATACGCAGCTGTTTCAAAAAATGGATAAGCAGGATGAATGTTGATGGATAAAGATAGAGGTTGAATAGGAACAATAGAAAAAATGCTAGGAATGATCAAAGTATGCTACAATACATGAAAATCACAATCAAACAAACATCAACATTTTTACAGGGTAAGCATCGGAGAGTATGACATCAAGAAGGTTGGTTTTAAATTTGTCGAACCACTGAAGTATAGATAGGATCTTGGAATCGTTCCCAAGAGATATATCTTCAAAACTTACCCGAAGATTTCCACTCAAATTATACTCGTATTTTATTATCCATGAAATAAAGATTCAACCTACTTGATGTTTCAAAATAAGCAGAGGTATTATTTAAATGGGAGTACTTATGTGAATTCTCTTTGTAGATAAACCTGTGGATAATAATAGTATGGTCTACTGTCAACATCTTGATGAAGCTTCACGAAATATTTACAGCCAGGTTCCAAACAAAAGCTTCTAAAAATGTTCACGATTTTCATACAGCTTTTGACGAAATTCAGCGACATATCTGGAAAGCTAACATTCTGAGGCCAAAAGTTATACTACTTCGCGCTCTTGAAAATGATTACAGGCTGATACATGCAGAATGAACATCAAATCGTCCAATGTTCCAGGGATGTGAAAAGTTCAGGTTTCGTGTCTTCGTAAATGCTAATTAACTAGATAACAAGGTAGTAGTAGTAGTAGTAGTAGTAGTAGTAGTAGTAGTAGTAGTAGTATTAGTAGTAGTAGCAGTAGTAGTAGCAGTAGTAGTAGTAGTAGTAGTAGCAGTAGTACTGGTAATACTTAGCGATAGTAGGGCTAGTAGTAGGATCATTACAGGTATAAGGCAAGATGCCCCAGCAGGCAGGCTGAGGCCCCCGATGGTCTCCAAACTATATTTATTACGTTTTTTAATTATATTTGGTATTAATTATTTATATTTTACTATCGCCAGCTCAACTTATCGAGAAAATATATTTACAACCACAATGGGTTACCACAATTCTTATTTCGTATTTCATAAGTATGTTGCCTATGATTATTACGTCTTAAAATCGTAGGAAAAGTGTTTTTCTTAGTTTGTTTCAGCTTTTAGGTGAGGGTGAGGCCATTCCGTATTCCAGGAATGGTGATGAACTGTGATAAATATTATGATAGTGATATATTTATTATAACTTCAATTTGAATTACATTCTGTATTTGCTATTTCTGTTGGGTACATGTTTTATGAACATATCTATTTTTAGCTAAGATGTGATTGCACTTTCCTCGTTTTACGTATTTTACAGAACTGCTGTCCGGAAAATTTAGGTTTTCTTTCAAAATCACTGTCCAAATATTTTTATCAAGCTTTTGAGGGAGGAGACTCCCAATTTCAGGATTGGCCCAAGTTATAGACCTCCCGAGAGTGATAAACGTGATATAATAGATAGCTGTTCCAAAAAATGTTCTGCCTGGATAGCTGGATGAATGTTTATGGATAAAGGTAGAGGTTGAATAGGAACAATAGAAACATGTTAAGAATGATTAAAGTCCCGACTTATAGTATGCTGCAATACAAGAAAACATCAAACATCAACATTTTTACAGGGTAAGCATTCGAGAGTATGGCATCAAGAAGGTTGGTTTGAACTTCAAGGGCCACTGAAGTATAGAAGCTACTGTTGAGGATCTTGGAAACGTTTCCATTAGATATATTTTCAAAATTTACCATAAGGAGACCAAAAGCTGTCTACTAAAACTATATGCTATTACCAATGAAATGCAGAGTCAACCTACTTGATGTTTCAAAATAAGGAGAGATATTATTTAAATCGGAGTACTTATGTGATCTCTCTTTGTAGATGAATCTGTGGATAATAGTAGTATGGTCTACTATCAATATATTGATGAAGATTTACGAAATACTTATAGCCAGGTTCCAAGCAAAATCTTCTAAAAGTGTTTTCATACAACTTTGAAGAAATTCAGAGACATAATTGGAAAACTAACACTCTGAGGTCAAAAGTTATACTTCTTCACACTCTTGAAGATGATTACGACCTGGTACATGCAGATTGAACATCAATTAAATTGATAATTGAAATAATGAAGAGGTAGTATTTTTTACATAATCTTGAACTCATTTGTTTATGATTCACTAACGTCTTAACCCGATACGTCAAGCTTATCAGAAATATAATTCTGAAACCTATTGCGCCCTAGAAGAAAGCTTTCAGCAAATTTCATTTTTCTAACAACTTATCAGAAAGATGTCGATGAACTTCGAGGGGCGTTTTTAAGTAAGAACCAATCACGCATTCTGTAACATGAAAACCGTTCTAGCTCAGACACTCTTGGTCAGTCTCTCACTACGCCAGAAGAACTAGAAAGACATTATTGGTAAATTTATATGGGCTGATTCCTTTACATTCCTTTGTAATTGTTACCATTGTGTGGTATTGAAACTTCATTCCATTTACTCCTATGCTAATTTTGAGGTTGCAATATTTTAGTAACAATTAACCGTGTGTTACGACAACAGTTCTGAGTTTTTCGCGTCTTTTGGGGCGGGTTTTTGGCGTCTTCGGGACTATGGACGAGGGTAAAGTATCAATGAGGGGGACTATCGACATGAAAACCACAATGATAAGTTTCAGATTAACCAAAACTGGTGCCTCGGACTTGACTTGTGTTGAAGATTTATGGTGGCTATGTTAAAAAATGAAGTGTTCATATTTTAGTATTTACATTCATAAATAAAATATCTCTGACTCGATTACAAAACGGTTCTTACTTAAAAAATGACCCTCGTATAAACCTCGTATAAAAATGCTTCTTTTTTTTAGGTTAATAACTGTGGCATACTGGCGGATTACAGTTTTTCGATTGTACAAATGAACCCAGAATTGTTGAAACGACTTGGTTTCTTCACCTGATACAATTAATCTTAGCAGTGTAACATGGAGACACATCTGTGCATTTTATAAGAAAATGAACGACCACAGCAATGGGCGAAGCTTCGTATAGGAGCACATAAACGCCAAAAAGGGGAGCCCGTAGAAGTTAAACATTTGTTCAAGATATTTAATAAAATGAAATATGAACTGTAATAGGGATTCAAAACATCAAGTAAATACAGCCGAAAGAGGTTTTTTGGTAGAGTTTTCCTCGGATATCGGCTTGCTTTCACTTTAACGTAACGACTGTCAACTCTCCCGCCTGTCGAATTGGTAGGTGTTTGATAGGATAGCTCGTCAAATAATATGGAAAAAATCGTTCTTGATCTGATTGTTCGTATTCTGAAATTGTCCACTTTAAATACGACACCACTGAATCTGTCTGACTCTCGGTCCAAGACGATTTTCTTTCTTTGCTTGGGTTTCGAGGTAATAGACCTCGTAAGTTTTCTGTTCTTTAGCGCTTAAATTCTCAATTTCCTTCTTTTGGCTATTTAGATTCCTGGTGACATAATTATGACTTCATTATGGATCAATTTAGCATCTTCCAACATCTTATTAATATTTTTTCTAATGAAACTACCTCAATCTCTCGATCTAATACAACTTATCTAATTCATATCTAGTTCTTCTTCCAATCGATGAGCTAATCCTTTGAATTGAAGTGTGAATTTTTAATTAATCATAACAAAATCAGTTCAATTTCATCTTCATTTGGCTGACAGAGTAACTCAACTAAACATCCCAGTCTTTTCTTTTCTCTAGTAATCTTTTTATGTTGAGAGTTAATAAACGGGTGATCTTCAACTCTCGATATTCGGTTGTTTCATTTCGTAGCCACGTAGTTTCACCCCATTTAACCCCAACCGACTGTCAGACTTTTACTTGGATGGCTTTTTGCAGAAAGGAACCAACCCATTAAATATGAAAAATCTCTATTACGAGCATATAACTTATAATTAGTGTTATATTGATTACACATATTTAAAGCCTTTAGTATGCCATTAATTAAAATCGTTCTTTCGTCTAAATTGAATTTTTTATCATTGTCAAAACTTAAGCCTAGTTGCTCAATAATTGTATTTCTGGGATGGTTCCTTTCTGCCAAAAACCGTCCACTTGAGCATCTCCAGTCTGACACCCTTGCGAATGAAGTGTATAGAACAGTGCTAAAGTAAGGTCATAGCTTTTGAAGATATATTCAGATATTAAATATATATGCAATGCGAAAGGCTTCGCGGCCATCCATTATTATTTGGTTGGTTTTGGGTTTCCCACAGTCGACTGTGAACATCTGAAGACGCCAACCACTCGTGTTGACAAACATCAAGTGTTTTACGACTGCCTAACAACCCCAAAACCAACGAATAATATTAAATATACAGGGAGTCCCATAAGTAATGGTAAAAATTTAACAGCTTATTCCTTTCAGGAAACATTGGGATCAATGTAAATTTTCTTAATCCAAAAATCAAAGGCACAAAGACAATATGATAAACTAAAAAGATAAACCTTAAAAATCTCGCTGTGATTCACCAGTTTCGAGATATTTAAGTTTTCAATGCGCTCAAGATAAAATTTTATTTTCCTAATTTAAGATATTTTTAAGTAGGCGGTGCCTGACGGGATGAATATATGCCAAATTTCGTTAAACACAAAAAAATAAATGCTAAATTTATGACCAAAATTCAAAAA